CCCAACACACACACACTGCAACCCTGACATACACTGTCGCCCTCACACACACTTCACCGCTCACACACACACACTGCACCCCTAACACATACCACTGCTCCTATGACCTATATCCCAGCAGACCCCAGGTAAGTTGTCAAACTGTTCTTAAACGGTTTGACTACTTACTCTGGGATGGAATCCTGGCACTACTGGCACCATAACTACTACACTGAGCTGTAGTGGTTATTGTGCCTGGATTATTTCTTTAAATAATCTACAAGTGCCCCTCCCGAGATCAGGCTCTGGATCCGCCACTGATTAGATAGCAACACTCTGCTCTCCTTTCTGCACTCCAATGCTTTCAGCTAGCCTACTGCTTTCCTTTCTGCACTCCCAGTGCTCCAAGTCAGCCTTAACTGCTTTCTTTCTGCACTCCCAGGGCTCAGTCTCCTTGACTCTCACAGGAGAGAACAGCGTCTCTCCTACCTGCTTCCAGGGAGGAAGCCAGCAATCCCCCTTTACCAGCCTAGCAGGGAGGGGTTTATTCCCACTGCTGCAGTTGATTATCTGCAGCTGAGCAGTGGTTGGAGACAGATCAAAACTCTGGCCTGGAACGTATTTCTCCCAGTTGTATGCAAACTGTGGAGTGGAGCATTGGCCCACCCTGCTCTCCAAATGCTCCACCCCAGGGGCCCATAACTAAACTTTGGTTTGTGTTGCCTACAACACATACTACACATACTCCCCCTGGGGTTAAATGTTATAGGCCTATCTGCCTTCACTTTATCACACTATATATAGTGTTTCTATGCAAACACACACAGTTTGGGCTGGAGGGTTTCCGTAGGAGGGGGGCGGGCACAGAAAGCGAGCTGAGCTGTCAGTCACATACCGCAAACGCACATACCGTGCACATGCGCAGCAGAGTGCTGAGTTCATTCATAGGGCGGCATTCAATGTGAGTGAAGCCATGGGAATAGGACACCCTTGACATACATACACATGGATTGATCATGATATCAAACTTGTGCGCATATGTAGTAGATTCCACATCCTGTATAACAGCATGAAAAAAAAACACCCCATTTTTAACTGATGTTTTAAAAGTGATGTAGCTGAATGTAGCCCTAAGGAGCAAGCACAGATTAGTGGAAAAGGGGCCTTGACAAAGCTAGGAGGCTGACATAGGGGGAAGGCCCGCAGGGATTGGGAGTTGGAATGTAAGGGGCTGTCCTAGTATAAATAGGCATCCATTTTAGAAACAGGCCCTTTTAATCTGCTTACCTGGCCTAATTTGTCCCTCCCATGTTAGCAGGGTGTTGGAGGTGCTTAGTTCCAGTTTGGTCACAGCGGCGGGTCTAGAGAGCAGAAAGTTAGGGGACAAACAGGCTCTGGGTTAGTTCAAATAGAATAGGGCAGTTATGCTGCTGGTTGAGAGGTTGGCTAAAATGGTTCGTTATGAAATTTGGTTGGTTTTTGAGCTTGGTGGTGGCTCAGAACTTGGTGGGTGGTAGGGGTATCTGGGTATACCCCTACCGTGGTTAGTTAACAAAGTTGTGGCACTTTAAATTATGTTTATGATGTTTATTATTACTGTTATTTATGTTATTTATATTTACTGTTCAAATATGGGTCATTGCCTTTTAATACGGGGACATGTGGTGTTTTATGGTGGGGTTGGGGGGCAATAACCTTAATCATATTATGTTTATTAATATTAATAAAACTGTGGACATATTTAACTCATACATTAGTGTCAGTGTTTTATTGGGCTAGGTATTAGGGGGTAATTCCACCTGCCCATATGGCAACTATGCGCCTGTCATGGGATGGTTGTGTGATGTGGTTGTGTGTTGTAATGGCACTCCCAGGCATAAAAGGGGTTAACAGCCATTTAGAAGATCTTCCCCTTCCAGGGGACACCAATCCACCGAACCGGAGAAGCATATGAATGCTCTCAAACATATAATGGTGTAAACAGCCGAATAGGAAAAACCATGCAAATAGGTTTACACTCCTAGCAGTCAAACTGTAACAGCATACCATAAATCCCCCTAAGAATGAGACAAGGCTCCGTTTTGAGGGTCAAGCAGGAACAGACAGAGCTGTGAGTTTATTGTTCTTATATACACATTAGTACCACCAACAGGGTTTTGGAAAACAACCAATAAACACGTACAATACACTCAGACACTCCCACACAAAATCCTCCCCTCTGTCTATGATACAATTACCTTACACAATGGGTAATGTAATTATCACAGCCAGAGAAATACAGTTTTTCCACATTATTCATAACTTGAAAAGTATACATCACATTCACATAAAAACTTACATTTTCAGAATCAGCATACTCCAAATACAAACATATGTCAAAATCATCCAAATTGGTCCATTGGTTCAAAAGATAGATCTAAGTCCTTTTTGACCAAATGAAGCATGGCTTTTCTGCCCAAAACCAGTTCCACAGAGTCTACTATCCTGGAGATAATTGGGAAGTAATCCAATTATCTCCAAGGACAGAGGCAAAACTCCATTAAGCACATGGCAGTAAAAAGACCGTAAAATACAATAAAATACACAAGGTTACATTTATTACATAAAATACAGACATGCAACATATCCCCAGATAGCTTAAGTCTGAGAGCACATTATTACTGAATGGCGTTCAGACCACACACTTACAGTTCAATCGCCATGGAGCCAAAGTCTTTTATTACACGAATAGGCTCCATGGCATAGCTATCTTGTTAAATGAGTTCATTCCGTAAATCCGAGAATCTACCAAACGCCAGGGCAGAAATACAGGAATAGACCTTTCTGCATAGGAAAATAAAGTATTTAAATGCCGGTCCATAGTCAAAAGGCAGCAGGCAGGCAACCAGGCTCCTCCAATGCACAGTGGCGAGATTGGTCTCGTCACGTGTTATCTGTGTATTTTGGCTGTGTGATATCTGTGGGTATCTGTGAATAAGATGGTTGTGTGTGACTGGCTGTGTGTGATGTATGGCTAAACTGGTACAGTTGGGAGGGCTGTATTATTAAATATTGGTAGGACTATAAATGATACGACACCTGCCATAGGGCAGTGCTTTTTCTGGTGGGAAATAGTTGACGTTGCTTTGGAAGCTGGCAGACATGGTTATCACTCCCGGAAAGTGCTTACTTGGTTTCTGTGCTGAAAAGTGTCCCCGGATATTTTTTTCCAAATATTTACAACTATGCTGCTAACCTGACAAACCATGCCCCCCCAACAGTCCCTATTTCAGCTGGACAGTACAGATTTAGTCATGGAGTAACACTTCCGGGTTCGGCACTCAGCTGTGAGGAGCCGGACCCTGCCCCCCTCTGACGGTATTTAGGGAGACTGGGCCAGAGAGAGGGGGCTGGGTGATTGTGTGTGAGCTGCCTCCGCGAGACCGCAGGCTCAGCTACTGGGAGCTACTTCCACCAGACTTACCTCTCCACAAGCTCAGACAAGCCGTTCCAGCCTTTGAGCCAATGCAAGGATTGCTGCATGCCATAAAAGGATTACTGGAGAACAGATACTTTGCTACTTTACAAGTGGACCATATCTCTGAACTATTGGAGGACTACACATATTAACCTTAAGTATATCTTTCAGCTATTTGTCTACAATATCATTTAATAATGAACTAATGCTTGCTTACTCAAATCTTCACTGCTACAAACTACTAATTATATGGAGGACAACTCCCATCATGTTTATTCAATATGAACTGTTTCTTGCTTTGCAAAGACACTCAATGCTTCAAGCTACTAATTATATGGAGGACAACTCCCATCATGCTTATTCACTATGAACTGTTCTTGCTCTGCAAATATTCTTAGCTACTTGCCTATTGTTTCTATTGAAGATTATTCTCATGAACTTAAAGAATGTTACTTAATGCATCTCTGAGGAAATACTTAATGATGAACTTTGTGTTGTTGTTTACTTGCACTTCCTCTTATTGGATTATTGCCTAAATGCGATTCATTTACGATTAACACTTATTAAAACTTCGGTTGAATCAAGTTACCAGTGATTCTCTCTTTTCTTAAAGCTACAGTATTGATACTGTAAAGATTCTTAGTTTCTTCACTATTGTAATTAGGGAGTTTACAAGCTGCAGTTGAGTTCCAATCCAAATCACCCCATGTAGCGTAACAGAATCACCAAGCCTAAAAATGGAACCAGCAGAAGTGAATTCCCAAATTATCTCTTTAACTCATAGAGTTGAAATACTCACACAAGGCATGCAGGATTTGCAAATTGCTAATGAGAGACTTATTTCTTATATTAGAGAAATGCAAAATAAAGTTACACATTTTTCAAGTGACCCTGCTGTCTGCAACCCTGAAAATTTTATGGAGATCGCTCTAAATATAGAGGCTTTTTGAATTCATGCAAATTATTGTTTACTCTCAAACCCAGGGCTTACCCCTGTAACGGATCACCTGGCACCCCGACTGGGTACCTCCGTTGAAGGATGCTCCTAGCGCTTCCTGAGGACTCCAAGCACTGCAACATACACCACAACCACCGCAGACTCCGCAACCGCTGTAGCTTGAATGGAGTCTTGCCGTCTTCCTTCCACCCTGGATCAGCTTCTGTCCTCCAGGACCGTGTGGGAAAGACCTCTTCCTTCCACCCTGTATGAACCTCCAGCATCCAGGACTGTGTGGTGAAGGCCTCTCCTCCTAGGAGAGCGTGTCAGGAACAAGCTCTTAAAAGAGCTAAGTGATTCAAGCTCAGGGGAGTATGCAGAGCATAGCAATCCCCAGTGTGATTATAACCACTCCCTCCAATAACGAGAAAAGGCTACATTTAGAGGGATCAAGAAGAACTGTCTAAACCTTTATTTCCCTTGGGACCAGCCCATAGGGTCACAACATTAACATTGCTGTGAAAACTCAATAAAATCACAAACAGTCAAACCATAGCAGGCAACACACAGTGACTTATCACAACTGAAAGGGTTAATTTCTATTCATCACTGCTTCCTTGCAGTCCTGGACTCATAACCTGTCCTCGGTTCTCGGACCTCTGATCACTGCACCATATGATGGGAGAGACTTGCAAGAAACAGACATGACACTAGAAAATACTTTGCAAGTTCTCAATGTGCTTTATTAAGGCAGAAGTATTTATACAATCTTTAGGTGCTTGTTTGCATGCAGTGGAATATGAGTCGTAAGCAAAAATAAAAAGATGTAACACATGATTGACACCTGTACCGAGAAACAGATATATGTTATGCCCGCAAACAGCTGCACAACAAGAATGTGGTTAATAACAGACATAGTTTGTCACGTAGATATCAAAAGCAAAATTAACTCTATATTGACTCTTACATTTCCCCTCTTTGAATGACCTCTCAGTCATTCACATTTAAATGATACCAGATGTATTCAGGGGTTCTAGACATACCTTAATTAAGAAGCCCTGGTCAGACCACCATCCATCTGCCATGGTATATTCAGGAATGCTAATCAATCCTGCAGGTCTTTCATTATTTCTTCGGCCACTATTCCCACAGCATAAGACTAGGCATCTGACCAGTATAATAAACTTATAGAGAAGTATCAGTATGTTTATCATTGCATTGATTATACATTTGGAGATATTCATCGTACCAAGTTGGGGATTTTGTAGGAGGAGTGTTGCGAGTTTGTTTGTAAATGCAGAATACAGTAAGCCCTGGGTAAATATGGGCAAGTGTATTATTCCCAACAGTTGTTTTCCTCCTTCGTCTGTTCCTTCGTGGGCGCATATAGTCAAAATGGGAATAATACCTATCCCCTGTCCAAGGACTGGGGTATAGGATTACCAGTCCACCCGATGATCTGGGGCGAGGCAAAAACCCCAGTGGCAAAAACTCATATTTGAGGAAAAAGCACATCTGGGGAAAACCTGAATGGGGGCCGCGATCGTGTTAGACATGTCATCCCCTCACAGTTGACACCACTTGTGACTTATAATACCCGCACCTGTGAGTACATAGCTCGGGTATCGGGAGGAAATGGGAAACACTTCTTACATATTAATTCATGAGATAAATTATAATATAGCTTGAAATTCTGACAATAATAACCAGACCTTGCGTCCTATATCTTTTAACCATTTCCCTATTCCAAAGGTCCAGTCAAAACCAGTCATATCCTCACGCAGTTCATCAAAACATGGGAATCCATCCTTGGCACACTCAACATATATCAAAAACACACATAGTATATTCATCCCTGGGTCAGCTAACACTTCCTCTCTCTCTCCGGCTAACTCTACAAAAGTAAAAATAAAAATAGTTCAGCATAGTTCAGAAAAATAGAATAAGTCTTTCACAGAGTATAAAGAAATCATTTTAGACACCAGACATTTTGTTCCATAAAATGGCTAGGGTAGCAATATGGCTGACAACAAGACAATGTCAGCTTCCACATAGTTCTTCTTTTGTTTGCTGGATTTTCACCACAATGTTCTGTGCAACACCCCAGTGGTTGAAAGGGTTTTTACAGAACCAGCGGTATTAGACAGCACTGCACCTTCGGGACTTTCCAGGTTCTTGCGTGCAAAGTTTATGTCCTCATAAGTATCTCAGTTTCTTCGGCCTGCATGGTAATGACCAAACAGATGTAATTGCAAAATACTTATTGCATGGTCAGCCGGAGAGATTGATGTGTAGTCCCAGAAATCAGGCGGCACAAACACTCCAGGACGGTCTCTACAATCATACAAACACAAGAATCAATACAACATCAATTAATTAATTACCTAGGCTAAAACTTAAATTAGAGATTAAGGTTAAACCCTTAACATGTGTAACATATACTTCTCTTACATTTGCTTATATTTTATGCAATCTGTTTTCTATGAAGTTTTACATAATATCCCTTTGGAATGCCTTTGTACAGATGAGAGAAGCACTCACTCTATAGAAATGCTTGTTAGGATGAATATTAAAACACTAACATTCACATATACATTCCCAATAAAACTTTGTTCCTAAACTTGAACCTTGATTTGATACTCAAAATTAATTACTTTAATAATCCCAAATAATTCAATACTCTTGGATTAACACCTAAACCTATATAAAATATTAAAACATGAACCATCTGTGTATAAGGCTGGGATTGTTAGGTGTGGGTTTTGTGGTTGGTATTGAGGAATCTGTGGGGGTGGGTTTGGGCACTCATTTATCCAGTGACCCTGCTATCCACAATTAGAACTGTGTGTTCCACCAATACTGAAGTTGCTACCTCTACAAAAGTTAGAACTTTTGACCAAATCCTCTACCTTTGCCTTTAAAACTTTTCTGATTCAATCTCCTATCACCTCCCAAATTTATTTGTCTCGCCTGCTTAGGATCACAGTCCTTGTGACTGCTACAACATACCTTTTCCTTCTTTCTTTCTATCAAAACAACCTGCTGTATCTTTCTCATGAATCTTCCCAAGAAATTCATTTGGGGTCAAAAAGGGCCAGTCACAGACCAGCAAGGAACAAAAGTGAACAAGGAGGAAGCATATTCCATATGCAGGTCGACTTTACCGAACTCATACCCCATCTTTGTGTACCACACAGACATAATATTAATAAGCCTTTAAACGTTTAATGGATAGTTAAATTGTGTATATAAAGCAAGGTTGTCTAGGGGTATATACATAGACAATGAAAGCATAACCTTCATATAGGGCTTGCAATACCGACAGACTGTGTCATGAGCATAATGCAGACATGCGGTTAGGTACTTTTCCATTGTTATAATATATTGAAAACACTAAGGCTTTGCAAATTTTTTTAAACACATATTGCTTCCTATACCTGGGGCCGTGCAAGGATGTAGTTGTGATATATTTCAAATTGAGCATCAAAAGTCTAACCACAAAACTATGTTATACACTTCTTAAGAAAACAAGTTTAACCCAAGTTTAACCCGTTAGTGCGTACTTTGGATAGCCTCTTTGCATAATTTGGCTCCTAGTGAGATTATTATATTATTTATTTATCCTCTTCTGGATCTGCAAAGTGCTTTCAATTTACCCATACAAATATAATACAGTAGTTTAGGAGATTAAGATTACTTCACTTATAAATTTCAAAAATTGTCTAATCACTAATAAAAATACAATTTTATTATTACCCCATAATCAAGGTGACATACTAGATGAATCTTACTTTGACACAAACAATGCAATATACTTTAAGAGGCAGAGTTAACTCTGAGCTGGACAATACTCCCCTATTAGAACTCCTTTATGAGGGAGAGACATCTTGTCCATTCAATCCTTTTTATCAGTAAAAGAATGACTTTCAGGATTAATCAGTTTGCAAATGGAAACGTGGATCCACGATTTGAACAGCAGAAGTTTGCGGGGCCCCTTTCACGTGGGATGTAACAAGCTCTTTTCTTGCTCCAGGAGCGATAGCATACAATTGTTTCATTCTAGCCGGCTGGACAGCATTTCACCTTTTGTAAAAACACTAAATGCTTGCGTTAATGATATGCAAATCACTCTGCTAGTTAAACTCCTACACAATGGACAATAAAATACATGAAACACATAACACACCAATTCATTCTAAACCATATAACTCATACTCAGCATCCAATGTAACATTACACGTCATCTCACAAAACAGACGTAGTAGATACACGTATCGGGTACCCAGCAGATATGCCATTACAGAAAACACATTCATGGGCACGCAACTACACACTCTGTGTCCCTCCTAGGAAACACGGGTAGACACAATATGAAAGCAGTCTTAAACTTACACCTTCAAATCTCCATTCCCATATAGCTATATCAGACCACAACACGGAGCCTCTCTGAGCTCATAGAACTACTCCAACTCCAACTACTCTTGGCCAAAACGCTAGTATTCAACAGCTAATAAAACCGTTATTTGCTGGGTTATTTGACTGGCATTTTTATCAGTATCACTAGACTGGGACAAACTGATTCAAATATAATTTAAAACAACACAGCAACATATAAATTAAACCACTTTCCAGTTAAACTGCACACTTCACACATTATCACAATCACCATTTACACAGAATAAACAGTTAACATCTGTACTCAGAACATATTATTGTAAGGCATACCAATTTTAGTTTGTATTAGATTTATTTTAGGAATTCTTATGAATACATTTTTAATTCTAATTAACCATTACTTTAATCTACTATAGTATTGTATATAGAGAAAGGATCCATTTATATAGCGCGCTCATAACTCAAATATTTGTATGAAACTTCCATTAACTAATCTGAGATGATAAAACAAAAAAGGTGCGCTGTACCTTCAAAAATTTGGTAATTTTATTCTTCCAATAAAAAAACTCCCTTTGCCACATTGAAGGCCAGTGTCCCATTCAATGCTTTGAAAAGATGAACACACCTAAATTTGTGGTCTCTGCAGCTTGCGGCACTATACAAGGCACTTCCGGGTTCGGAGCTCCGTGCGATCACGTGATAACATGATGATGTCGTATGTGAACGTGATCACGCGTTTCGCCCAAAAAGGCTTCCTCAGATCACATCCTGATGCAGCTGGTCCTGGCTTTTAAAGCCCATATTGTGGGTGTGAAATATGCAAATGAATAGCCAAAGTCTTATACAAACGGGGTAGATCCCCTAAATGTCTATATAAAGAAGTCCCATACAATGTATAAAATAGATGAAATATAACAAAAGAATAATAGTACACATAATAGCCAAAGTACATGAATGTCCCAATCAATATTTCAACAAAAAATGGAATGTCATAAACATATTACATATATTTATTTAACCATATTAAAATCTCAAAAAAATACTCCATTAAAATACATAAATACAGTTATATAAATGCACCTACTAGCAGAAGGAGAGAAGGGAAAGTAATTAATATCAGATAGAAAATTCCTCTAAAATATAAAATTCATAAAACAAAATTATGCAAATCAAATTCAATATTAAGACCTTTAGGTTCAAGGGTATCCAGTGTATGAACCCACTTCATCTCTTCTTTTCCTATATATTGAATAAAATTGCCTCCTCGCCATGGTTTTTTTAACAATTTGAATTCCTAAAAATGTGAGGCCACTGGGATCTTTATTATGATATTTTTTAAAAATGAGCGGACACACTATGATGATCTATACCTTTTCGGATATTATTAACATGTTCATAAATTCTCTTATGTAGAGGGCGAATAGTTTGTCCCACATATTGAAGTCCGCATGGACATATTAAAAGGTATATAATGTTTTTAGTAAAACAAGTAATAAAATCCTTAATGGTATATTCTTCTGTTGTATATTTTGTCTTTAATTTACTAATCCCTTTTATAGTATTGTTTTTACTACATTTACATCCTACACATTTTCCACATGAGTAAAAACCTTTTTTATTCACACTTAAAAACGTATCAGGCACTTCCTTTCTTGGATGGTTAAAAGTCAAAATCTGCTTTAAACTAGGTGCACCTCTAAAAGTGATAAAAGGTTTCTCTGGGATAATTATCGATAATTCTCTATCCTTTTTTAAAAGGTGCCAGTGTCTATTAATAATAGATTTAACTCTTTTAAAGTCCTGATTAAAATCTAAAACTAAAGGCACTTTATCAAATTTCTCTTGTCCTTTGTTATAATTGCTTTGTCTAAAAACCAATTGATTCTGCTCCAGGTCTTTAATTTCATCGTATGCCCTATTTAGTATATCAGTGGGATATTGTTTTTGGGAAAATTTATCTATTACTACTTTTGCTTGCTCTTCAAAAAAATTCTGTTCAGTGCAGTTCCTTCTTATCCTTTGTAGTTGACCTTTTGGAATATTATTGAGCCAGGGGGTATAGTGCCCGCTGTTATATAATACATAGCAATTGGCGTCTACTTTAAAAAAAAATAAAAAAAATTGTTTTTAAAATGCCGGCTTCTTCATAAATTTCCAAATCTAAAAAATTAATATTCTGACTGCTAAAGGAACTGCTAAAATGTAAACCCCCCTCATTTAGATTAATACTTGCTAAAAAGAGTTCTAAATCCAATTGTGTGCCCTTCCATATAAAAAATATATCGTCGATATATCTATGGTAGGAGACCAGGTTCGTCCCCCAATTATGGCTGTTATAAATAACTTCCGATTCCTAACCTGACATAAATAAATTAGCGTAACTAGGGGCGAACCTGGTCCCCATAGCCGTACCTTGTAATTGTAAGTAAAATTTAGAATTAAAATTAAAATAATTATTTTCTAAAATCCATCTAATACTATCTATAAGGAATAAAATATGTATATTACTAAAATTACTTGATTTTTCTAAACATTCTTGAATCATTTTACATCCCTTCTCGTGAGAAATGGAGGTATAAAGTGCCGTTACATCTGAAGTTACTAGAAAGTATCCGTTTTCCCATGTAATATTTTTTATAATTTTAATTACATCCGTAGTGTCCTTAAGATATGATGGCATTTCCTTAACTAGGTTTTGTAGCCAGATATCCACATATTTTGAGAGGTTAGCTGAAATGGATCCAATACCGGACACAATCGGCCTACCCGGAGGGTTCTCTAAATTTTTGTGCACCTTGGGCAGGGTATAAAATACAGGCACTCTAGGGAATTCAACTAATAAAAACTTATATTCGTTGTCATTTAAAATACCTTTGTCTTTTCCTCTTTTTAACAGGATCTCTAATGAAGATTTTATATCAGATGTCGCATCTTTTTCTAATACCCTATATATCCTTTTATCCTCTAATTGTCTATAACATTCCTTTAAGTAGTTAGTAGTATCCTGGATCACAATAATGCCCCACTTATCAGCGGGCTTTATTATTATTTCTTTATTATTTCTTAGGTTTTGTAGGGCTTTATATTCATTAAAACTTAAATTTAAATTGCGTTTATGATTGCATTTCCCTAATTTGTCGAAATCGTCAATAACAGATTTTTCAAAAATATCTATGGCACTTGTACGATAATTTCTAGGATAGAAATTTGATTTATTTTTTAAGTCGGTATGATTATCACTTTTCCTAGTGTCTGTGTACTTATTAATTTCAAAAAATCTCTTTAAAGTTAACGTTCTAGAATATTTCAATATATCTACATAAGCTGAAAAAGAATTGAAATTTTTGCTGGGGGCAAATTTTAGGCCCTTATTCAAAGTTCTAATTTCATCATTATTCGGAACAAATTTAGACAAGTTAATTACTCCCTCCAATTGGACATTCTTCCTTTCTTTTCGCTGTTGTAGTCTTGTTCCTCCTCTACATCCTCTCTGACTCTTCTTCTTTTTAGGGGAGAAAAGGAAACCTTTCCTCTTGTTTTCCCTAAAAAATCATTTTCTCTAGAGTCTGATTGATCTCGTGACAGAGCTTCATATCTGTTTGATAGTGTTAGATCCCTATTTTTATGTGGGGGGCTCTTGTTTCTTTCAAATCTGTTATAATGCCTATTCCTAAATTCCACTCTCTTCCATTCATTCCCCTTATTGACTTCAGGGGTTCTCCACTTAGGATTGCCCATTTGGGGGTATCAAAACTGTCTATTCTCCTCCTATTATATCCATTTTGTTTAGAATTATATTTGAAATTATAATCATTCGATCTTCGATTCCCATACTTATTGTTTTTTCGGTCAGTATAGTTATTTTGATAATAATTTCTTACTTTTTTATACTTATAATCGTCCATATCTCTTTTGTACTTTTTATATTTCATTTGTTTCACCTGGTCCTCTAATTTATTGAGATTAGCTTTAGTAGATTTGGTCAATTCCACATAATCTTTAGTCTCAGTTGCTGGTTCCAATACTTTTTGTATTTCTTTAACCTCTTTATCTAAATCTGTCAAATTTTCACTTCTACATAGTATGACTATGTTCATCATCTCCATTGAAAATCTTTCAAGTGCATCATTCCACATATTAACATACTTTTGATTTTTATCGTTTTCAAGTGTAGGGGTTTTGGAGAATCTGAGACCCCTAGGGGTGATTTTATCTCTCAGGTATCTCTCTAATGTAGCAATCTCCCACTTGTATTTAATTTCTTTTGCTAGAATTTTTTCTAGTTCACTGAATGTAACCTCAATATCATCATTTCTGGAGAGATGAACATTGTCATATGCAGCTTTCTGTGTGTCTTGAAAACCACATTTCATATTATTCCGATAATCAAAAAGTGACATAGTGAAATAAGCAGCCTTGCTTGATAAGAGCTATATAGAACAACAGAATAAAAAACAAACAAGCGGGGGGCGGGGCCGGACCGCCGAGCTGGACAGTCGCAAGCCTGAGCAGCTCCTGCAATTAAACAAAATTTACTCTCTAAAATCATGCCTCACCACCTAAAATCAGACCGCCAGAGCAGATACCCAGAGCTGTGAGACTGCTGGACCTGGGGAGAGGCTGGCTCACCGAGCTTCAGTCCCCCGGGGGAGAAAAACACATTGCCCCAACCGGGGCCTTCTCCTGCGGTGAGTGGGGCGGACGGCCGCTGCCCCACTATCCTGCGCCAAGGAACCCAGCCACGGGTACAGACCAGCACGGATCCGGCTCCGTTCCCCCCCCTCTAGGCCGGGGGGGTGATCCCGGTCCTCACCCTGTGGCCCTGACCGCGACACTGCAACTGAGGCCGGGGAACCCGACTGCCACACCTAAAATGGCGGGTGCCATGTGCGCGGACGGTAACCTGAGAGCCCCAGCCAGACGCAAGTGAACAAACCGCTGGCGGGCAACAAGATACACTGAGCCCTGTCATCTCGCAACATGGGAACGCAACAACAGTGCCCTGCCACACACTGCTGCAAACTCCTGGCTTACCCGGCTCACATACCCGGAACCTGGATCCGGTCTCCGCAGCAGCCTTCCTGGGCCTTGAGCCCCTAGAGGACATTCCTCGAACCGCAGCCCTAAGCCCAAGCACACTCCATCAGCCAGGCAGCCCGTTACCGGCCAGAAGTGGAACCGGAACCGAGAGCACAAGCGGTCGCTCAAGCAGAGCCCAGGGCTGGCAGTGTGGAGTACACCGGACCAGCCCCCCCCATCAAGCCACAACAACATCGGGTTGGAGGCGGGTGAGCCACAAGATTGGAGGACTCAGCAAGCCCTGCTACATAACCTGCCCAGCAGCACGATGCAGAGGAACATGAGAGACAGTGTGATTTCTACGGTGAGGACACAGTGGAGCCCAGCATATAGCAACCCTGCTCACAGATTATCACACAGTTCAATTTAGGAACGACCCCACACAGAACCCACACAGAGGTCCCACCTGTTGCCTGCTGGCACACACTCACACAAGCATGTTTCCATCGCATCAAATAGGGACTGTCCTCCCCTGGCTTGCTCTCTGTCAGCTACATACCCAGCTGGACACCCAACACACAGCTCGCACAGAGAGGTGCAGGGGTTAGGCAAGCACAACTCACGAGCAATGGCAGGATACAGAGCGGAGATCCAGCAGACAATTAATCCTGAATGTGCAGCGTAAACTAGCATCTACTCAGCATATGCCCTATGCCTTTATTTTCCATGCCCTGCTGTCGCTCTTCTCATAAATCACACTGTCTCTCCCTGGTATAAGTCTAGATTCTTTGCATCCCATTCTTCACTTATCAGATTAACGCTTCATAGGACCTTCCTGTGTTATCTCTGTTTCAAATGCTAAACATGGGCTTATCAGTCAGACAACAGCTGTATGATCTTGCAGAATGCCATTTTAGAGTGTATTAACGGTTAGTTAACTATGTCTTCACCATACTGTTTATTAAGCTTTACACAAAGAAAAAAAAAAAAAGTGCTGTTTAAGGGCTTTCCTGTGTTATATCTATTTCACATACTGAACATAGGCTTATCTATCATACTACAGCCGAATGATCTCGCTGAATGCCATTGCAGAATGTATTATCTGCTAGTTAACTATGTCTTCACCATACTGTTTACTAAGCTTTGCAAAAAAAAAAAAAGTGCTGTTAATAATTGCCATGATACTGTTCAATATGTATTGTTTCAGCGACTTGTACTTGCTGTCGTGGCAATACAAGTGTGTGTGTTAAACCTAAGCACTGCAAAAATAAAGATTTATAAAAAAAAAAAAAAACAAGCAATATAGGCGCTAAAATTATAAATATATAAGTGCAAGTGTTAAAAATAAAGGTAGAGCAGCACCTAAAAGTGCACAAGCTCAAAAACACCACACAAAGAATATAAAACAAAAAAGGTGCGCTGTACCTTTAAAAATTTAAAGTGCAACAAGTGCAAAAATCGTGCAATAAGAAGTGTCTATTCAATAAAATCACACTCAATATAACGAATGTGCAAAATTGCAAGTGAATAGTGATAAAAATACAAATAGTAACTTACAGCATGAAAATATGTCTCAATATAAATTGCATTTGGTTATTCCAAAGTAGGAGATATGGTACATAAAAAAGAAAAAAACCACATAGCATAACACTGTTTAAAATTATATAAAACAACCAAGAGAAATGGAATAAAACTCACAAGGAAAGAGCAGTAAAAGTCTGCTCTAACTTTTCCAGCATGTAATCCACAGCATAGGGCTTTGATGATAGTAAAAACAGCAGGACGCCAGCTGAATAAAACGATCTTTATTTCTTCCAATAAAAAAAACTCCCTTTGCCACATAGAAGGCCAGTGTCCCATTCAATGCTTTGAAAAGACGAACACACCTAAATTCGCGGTCTCTGCAGCTTGCGGCACTATACAAGGCACTTCCGGGTTCGGAGCTCCGTGCGATCACGTGATAACGTGATGACATCGTATGTGAACGTGATGATGCGTTTCGCCCAAAAACGCTTCCTCAGATCACGTCCTGATGCAGCTGGTCCTGGCTTTTAAAGCCCATATTGTGGGCATGAAATATGCAAATGAATAGCCAAAGTCTTATACAAACGGGGTAGATCCCCTAAATGTCTATATAAAGAAGTCCCATACAATGTATAAAACAGATTAAATATAACAAAAGAATAATAGTACACATAATAGCCAAAGTACATGAATGTCCCAATCAATATTTCAACAAAAAATGGAATGTCATAAACATATTACATATATTAAATATACTTAACCATATTAAAATCTCAAAAAAAATACTCCATTAAAATACATAAATACAGTTATATAAATGCACCTACTAGCAGAAGGAGAGAAGGGAAAGTAATTAATATCAGATAGAAAATTCCTCTAAAATATAAAATTCATAAAATAAAATTATACAAATCAAATTCAATATTAAGACCTTTAGGTTCAAGGTTATCCAGTGTATGAACCCACTTCATCTCTTTTCCTATATATTGAATAAAATTGCCTCCTCGCCATGGATTTTTAACAATTTGAATTCCTAAAAATGTGAGGCCACTGGGATCTTTATTATGATATTTTTTTAAAATGAGCGGACACACTATGATGATCTATACCTTTTCGGATATTATTAACATGTTCATAAATTCTCTTATGTAGAGGGCGAATAGTTCGGCCCACATATTGAAGTCCGCATGGACATATTAAAAGGTATATAATGTTTTTAGTAAAACAAGTAATAAAATCCTTAATGGTATATTCTTCTGTTGTATATTATATCTTAAATTTACTAATCCCTTTTATAGTATTGTTTTTACTACATTTGCATCCTACACATTTTCCACATGAGTAAAAACCTTTTTTATTCACACTTAAAAACGTATCAGGTACTTCCTTTCTTGGATGGTTAAAAGCCAAAATCTGCTTTAAACTAGGTGCACCTCTAAAAGTGATAAAAGGTTTCTCTGGGATAATTATCGATAATTCTCTATCCTTTTTTAAAAGGTGCCAGTGTCTGTTAATAATAGATTTAACTCTTTTAAAATCCTGATTAAAATCTAAAACTAAATGTACTTTATCAAATTTCTCTTGTCCTTTGTTATAATTACTTTGTCTAAAAACCAATTGATTCTGCTCCATGTCTTTAATTTCATCGTATGCCCTATTTAGTATATCAGTGGGATATTGTTTTTGGGAAAATTTATCTATTACTACTCTTGCTTGCTCTTCAAAAATATTCTGTTCAGTGCAGTTCCTTCTTATCCTTTGTAATTGACCTTTTGGAATATTATTGAGCCAGGGGGTATAGTGCCCACTGTTATATAATACATAGCTATTGGTATCTACTTTAAAAAAAAATAAAAAAATTTGTTTTTAAAATGCCGGCTTCTTCATAAATTTCCAAATCTAAAAAATAAATATTCTGACTGCTAAAGGAACTGCTAAAATGTAAACCCCACTCATTTAGATTTATACTTGCTAAAAAGAGTTCTAAATCCAATTGTGTGCCCTTCCATATAAAAAATAAATCGTCGATATATCTATGGTAGGAGACTCCAATTTTGTCTGTTATAAATAACTTCCGATTCCCAACCTGACATAAATAAATTAGCGTAACTAGGGGTGAACCTGGTCCCCATAGTCGTACCTTGTAATTGTAAATAAAATTTGGAATTAAAATTAAAATAATTATTTTCTAAAATCCATCTAATACTATCTATAAGGAATAAAATATGTATATTACTAAAATTACTTGATTTTTCTAAACATTCTTGGATCATTTTACATCCCTTTTCGTGAGAAATGGAGGTATAAAGTGCCGTTACATCTGAAGTTACTAAAAAGTATCCATTTTCCCATTTAATATTTTTTATAATTTTAATTACATCCGTAGTGTCCTTAAGATATGATGGCATTTCCTTAACTAGATTTTGTAGCCAGATGTCCACATATTTTGAGAGGTTAGCTGAAATGGATCCAATACCGGACACAATCGGCCTACTCGGAGGGTTCTCTAAATTTTTGTGCACCTTGGGCAGGGTATAAAATACAGGCACTCTAGGGAATTCAACTAATAAAAACTTATATTCATTATCATTTAGAATACCTTCATCTTTTCCTCTTTTTAACAGGATCTCTAATGAAGATTTTAGTGTTTTAGATATGTTTATTGTGATGTTACTTTTTATTTTTTATTTTATA